TTCATTTGCCGTAGCTTTGCGGAGCCGATATTCATTGTTTAGATTACAAAATTACTTAAAACTAACGTTAGTAAAGCGGGGGCCGATTACTCGCGGCTATCTCGAGGTTAGGGGTAACTAATGGATGGCAGGATTGACGGATGTGACTTGTGTCTGAAACCGTTTCACCTTCTTTTGCTTCTTGAACGTTTTCGTCTTGGCACGTTGGACGTTACTCTTCGATGTTCGCAGTTTTTTGGCCAAATCTTGAGCAGAGGCACTTTGCTTATTGACGAAAGTTTGGTGATCTTGTGGTCCACTTCCAGATTTCTTCACTTCCGGATGGCGATTTGGACTGCTCCGATACTTACTTCCTGCATTTTCGCCAACTTCCGATCTGATAGGTTGGGAGTAGTGCACCATTTGTGCACGATCTATTTGCACTTTTTCCGGGAAATGATAACTTGTTGAGAAATAAGTAAACAACGACACGCATAGAAATGACGGCGAGTTGAAAGTTGAATTGTGCTTATACTTTCTGGGACACCCTATAAGTTGAACTCTGAGTAAATTCTGATTCTATGGAAAATCAAGAGAAAATTCTAAAATCAATCCTGTGAAGAATTTCAAGGGCATCAAGATGATTCATATATAGAACATTTATCGAGATCCTAGGCACTTAAATAAATTCGAGGCTCAGGCTTAATGAAAAATTAATCGAATAATCTTAATATCAAATATCATACATATTATTTCCAGTAAAAACTTGAAGGTCAATATTCCAATTTTTATAAATTTTGCAGATTTTCAAAGTTTACCGAACAGTTTCCCAATTAAAAAATAACTGAGTAAGTAAACGCAGAATTAGTGGGTTAAATTCTGCGTAATATAGTGTGTAGGGGTTTGCACCTACTGGTTGTATTGGTCAATATGAGGTCATGTGTGGTTAAAAACGATTTTACAGACATTTTTGTAAATTACCAGACATTTCAAATTTGCATCGCAGACTTTCATAAAAATCACCTGGCATCTCTCGAGCTAGATGCCCATCTCAATAGAATAAACCTCGTGGACAGCAACATCTGTCGGTGTGGAAACGGTTACGATGACATCGATCACGCAGTTTGGCAATGTACGGATAATGACGCCGCCAGAGAGCGACTTTTGAATACCCTCGAGGCCCAAGGAAGACAATCCTATGTTCCTATCAGAGACGTGTTGGGAACTCGCAATCCCCCCTATTCTGCGAGTCACGTGACTCTCTCTCACCGGTGAGGTGACAATTGTCACCTCACCGGTGAGAGAGAGTCACGTGACTCGCAGAATAAGGGGGAATATCTGCTATATGCAGTCGGTTTATGTATTTCTTCAAATGTCTAGTATAAGACTTTAATTCCTTTGTCTTTTGTCTCTCTTTAAAAGTTTTTGTTTGTCTGGTCCCCCCGTCTCGATGAGTCTCATCGTCACCCACTGGTCACCATAGCCGGTCGAACGCCAGACAAAACTAGAACCGCACTACCATTCACACTGGTGACAACGCTCTGACGAGACAATGAAACCTCCAAGCTCCTCCCCTGATCCTATCCTTCGATAATGTACCTCTCTAACCTCTGGTAAGCCGCGAGTATTCGGCCCAACTCCTACTAGACATAGAATTAAGTGAATTTTGTTACAAACAAATAACAATGAACTATCGGCTCCGTAAAGCTAAAAGCGAGCGGTCGGTAAGACAATTTTGGCGTGGCAAGAATGTTGTTTAAAGATGTTTCGGTTCTTTAACTTGTGTCTATATTATTTCAACTTGTTTTTATAGCTTTTAAAGCCATTTTGGGTTTGCTTTGCAATTTAGTGTATTTTATCCTATTTTATAATATATGGCCATTTTCACACTTTTAAGGTAATTTGTGGTCTGAGTTGGTGTTTTAGCTACATCAAGATTAAGACTATTATTTGTTGGTTTCAGGCAGTTTTAGGACTTTCTTCTTGTGTTTTTCAAGTAAATACTTAAGGCATTAAAATTGGAGACAGTAGGATTAGAAGTAAAGTTTGATAAATGTCAAGTACTTATTAGGTTTTTCAACGATAAATCTAAATCGCTCACTGAAATAACTCTAAATGGTAATAAATTCAAAGTTAGTGAAAAAATTAGATATTTAGGAGTAACACTATAACTTCAACTCTAAACAGAAAATTAACGAACAGGCAGAGATGCTTGAACGCTTATAAAACAAGTCAAATTGTGTGTGAGCTCTGTAAAAAAATCCAAACCAGCATGGGAACTCGGAAAACTTATTTATAAAACTGTTATAGCACCTTCATTAACGTATGGTGCAAAAGTGTCACTTTTGACTAAGAAAAGCAGAATTTCGATGGCAAATTTTGAAAAACTAATACTGAGGAATATATTTAATCATTGTAAAAAAAAGCCAATAATATTAGATTCAATGCAAAAAAAAACTATTGGATGGTAAAACGATCAACAGAAAAATAATAATAGGGTGGTTAAGTTATTTCGGACACACTATGCGCAGGGAAAGGGAACATCCTCTTAGAAAAGCATTTCAATTAAAGTTCAATAAAAAGAAAGAAGGAAGACCTAGTTTAACTTGGAAGGATTCTTTGGAGCAAGATAAAAATAAATATAGAGAATTAACAGAGAGTGAAAGAGATGAATACAAACATTGAAAAAAATATCAAGATGAAATGAAGCTAAGATAGGTAAGAGGATCAATAAACACGAAATTCAAGTAAAAATATGTAGAGATAAAGGTGAAATTCATACCAGTTAAAACAAAAATAAACAAAGACTTCGGCTGCACACTACTTACGAGAGATGACGAACGAAATGGTTTCAATAAAAAAATAATAAATTATACATGGTAAGATCGTTCCAAAATGTGGCCATCAAGGTAAGTGACTGTCATTATTTCAAACATATACAAAAAGGAAGGGAGGGTCCAACAGGGCAACCGATTGAAGCGATTTGGATAGAGAAAGTGGGATTGCCAACTTCCTGTTGCTAACATTTCTTGGATAGAGGGTGGGCTCTTCTCCACACTCATGTCCCGAGCAAAGTCGGTTAACAAAATGCAAGCAAATCGATATTTAAAATTGCAGTTCCTATCATAATGAAAACTAATTTTGATTTCAACTGTCACGACAGAAGTCTGATATCATATTGTGCTTTCATTATGCACTTTTTAAATGAAAGCAACTTAACTTCAAGCTCTGCTGTTAACGTCTTGTTGAAAGTTTAATATAAGTTCATCTGTCGTTGTACTAACAATTATTGTCAATTCGTTTTGTTTAACACTTTTTAGGTCATTCGTGACTTGTCCGGGTGAAATTTGAACTCAAGTTTTTTAGCGTGAGAAACATGGATGCTAACAATTTAAACCAGATCCGTATTCAGTTAAATATTATGAATGCAAAATCAGTAATCTAATTGATTTCATTAAAAGCAGGATCAGTTCGTTTGATTCAGCAATGTAAAATATTGCTCTCATTTTTGCTGTGTTAACCGTTAAGTCAACCAAAATGAGATCAACTGGAGTATTCAAAATAAGTTAGGGTAAATTATGGCTTCGGCACCCATTGACTGTTTTCGGCAACCGAAATTGAAACGTTTATTTCACTGTATTTTCCCATCAAAACTCTTCGCTGAATGTATTAAGCCGATTCCTTACCTTTTCAGCTTCAATCTGATTACATTTTTACGACTGTGAATTCCTGTTATACCATACTTTTTTTAAATGAAATATACATACTACAAAATACGGCTGATTTCGAGTTGCCGATAATAGAACAGCTGGTTAACACGCAGTTCAAATGGAAAGGGTGCCGAAGAAAAAGAGACTGCCGACAATAGTCACTCTCACCTGAGAAGTTTGGAGCGTTGTAAAAACATGTTCAACCCGTTTTGATCAATTCTGTCGATTGGAATTGGTAGAAAAGCAAGCAGCAGATAAATGTCAACAAACAAACCTGTCATGTATGTGTGTGACGCTGAGAAATCGCTAATAGAAGTTCGGACGCTGCTTAGATTGACGAGAATACGTAAATTCCCCTACATCATACAGCAAATTTTGATTTCAATTTGATCTCCAGCTTTGCTCGAGGTGGCATCCTTCAGGACGAGGGCTTGTTCCATTGCGAATTATATGATCTTGGTTGCTGGAAGGAGATTCTTATTCTGTTCCCTACGGGTTTCGTGTGGGTGTTTCTGCTTACGGGTCCACCCCTCCGTTTTTGGCCCTTCATACAGTGCCAAGCTGAATATGATTTGTCAGTGGGACTTGATCAAGTCGTCCAGATTGGATTGCCCATGGATATGTGCAGGCGTCTAGCTACATGAGTGGTAGTTTCAATGATCATCATCATCATCTTTTTGCGTTTTTCAAGTCATTTTGAGTTTTAGAGGCTTTATGAATTTCTTAAGCCATTATTTAATCCTTAAAAATCTGTCTTCAATTTTGGTGGGTCACGAATTTTTAAAATTTTACCAAATGGATCGCAATCAACGAAAGTTTGAGAACCACTGAACTAAGCCAATGGAAGAAACCCGGTGGGTTCGATTTTTCGATTAAATGGTTAGTAAGAAGAAGACGAAGTGAAGATTCGAACCATACAATACTTGATTTTGCCTGATATGCTATTGTTTTGCGCAGTAGTCGATAAGCCGAATGCGGTGATGACAATGCCAAGTTTGTCTGCCCTAGGGGAATTTCTCATACTTTCCAGCACAATTTATAACCGAACATTATTTTATGTAACTTTCTCCTGGTTTATTTTACATACTAGTGGTTTTTTTATAATATTTTTTTTTCTCTATGTTTCCTTCCATTCCAATATAATTGATGTACTTGAATAATACTATAAACTGCTGCTTGTGTTCGATAATTATAACCAACCAACGTCGTTCCTAAGATCCACCCCAGTTATCATTGTCTTGAAGTGCGGATTAGAAATGAGGGATTCGATTTTTCGCAAGTAAACACCTACCGTTGTTTAATGTATATATGTTTTTATTTCCTTTCCAAATTTGTTAGATTTGAACGTGTTGTAATTGGTAGATTTACGTGTATATATTTAAATCATCATGTGGTGAAGAAATAGTTATCGGTTTCTCTCAAGCACATCCTTTAAAAGGAGTTGGTCAGACAGTCTCCCAGTGTTTAATATAGATTCCTTGTTTCACTTGTTGCACACCATGCGTAGATGTAGGTATACAGGAATTTCCATTTGTTTACGTTCTAATATGTTTCAGCTGCGATTACGACTTAACCGAAATGTAACGGGTGTATGTGTGTATGGGTACAAATCTGCAGTGTGATTTTCTGTTGTTTAAAACCTTACGAAAGGAGTTGTTCTTTTTTTTCATTGTTATTTGAAGACGATTATTTTTAAGTATATGAATAATATAAAAACAATTCAACGTTATCTGTTTATATTTCTCTTTAATTTTGAGTTACTTTCAGTTGAAGGTGTCTATAAGTTATGATTTCTATACACATCGTAAAGTATTTTTTGAATGAACTGTCACATGCAAATTTCTAACGTTACTTTTTGTCTGATAATAAATATTGAGAGAAATTTCGACACGTGATGGTTCTTGCATTGTCACAGGCGGTGTGTGTGTATGCCTTATTGGATACATATGTATGCCAGTAAATCCCAAACTTATTAGGCATCGAAGTGTTTATTCCATATACACATAGAAATGGCGCCAAATTGAGCGAATCAACAGTGCTAATGTAGGCCTCGCATTGCTAGGCTTGTGTTTCAGGCTACACGTTCATTTTGAAAAGCAAACACTACACAGTTGCGAATTCATAATAGGCTTTCTGTACATGCTTTTCTTTTATTATGTGAAATAATGTTGGCATGATAAGTTTGGCGCCCAACAGTTGGCAGCACTTGTTTCATATTGTTTATTTTCGTCTTCCGCACAAAGTGCATAGCCTTGAAGACGTTTCCGTATAAGGATTTTCAGCTAACTATTGAAAGATTTGTCTCGATACAAAGGGATTCATCCGCCTACGTAGGAGGAAACATGCATTACTGTTGTCTATGTTGGGTTTTTTTTTCGTTTGTTGTTGTTGTTGTTGTTGATGCATAAAAATGCCACTTTTTTTTAACTATGTTTACTCTCAGTTTAATGGTAAAATATACATTGTTCATGACAAATCTATTTTCTCTCATTTTTAGCGTTCATTGCAACCGTATGGTATTCTAAGAAGTATGTAATGAAAGTTTCTCATATTCACTCACACACTCTCCCTTTCTCACGCACGTCCTCCAGAAGGTATATGTGTGTGTTTTTTCTCGCACTTAGTCTATATAATGTTATGTATAATATATGTATATCATCGATCAAGGAATAAAGCGCCGTATTTTGAAATCTCGTTTAAAGGTCGTTTACAACAAAAAAGTGTAAGAGCAAAGAGGGCATTCATCAAAAGAGACAAATCTCGAACGGCTCTTAGTTCGAGCGCCGATCAGGAAATCAAGGGATTCTTGGGAAGCCTTATGGATTCGACAATACGGGAGAATATAAACATATACAACAATTCGAATATGTACAACATAAAATACAACGAGCGCGTTCTAAGGGGGACATTTGCTGTATGAGGAGCACTCTTTCAAATATACTCACACATTTTGACCATAGGGTGATTTGACTGCAGTGGTGTTAGTAGGAGCGTTCTCTCTCGAACTACTATCCACTGTTGAGATGGATACATTTTGTGGGACCAGGAAGTAGGATAGGGATCGTAGGGTAGAAGTCACGGCGGCCAGTACGGTCGAGCAACAGCTGGCGTTAGCGGCGGTGGAACCGAACGGATCCCGGTTCGGTTCCGAGCTGCCGGGACTCAAGGGTTCTAGATGATGGTGATGGTTGATTTGGTGGTCATGATCGTGGTAGTGGTAAAAGGCAGTTGTGATGTACAGAGGGTCGTCTCAGGTTTTATATTGTCTACTATCACTCCTATAATGAGAACAAGAACAATTCGAAACGATAAAAGTAACAACAGCTGCTAATTGAAATTTTCATCTCTCGACAAGTTCAAACCAAAATACCACACCGACACCAATTGAACAGAAAAGTTAAGGAAGCAAAGCATAAGCTAAAGAATGTACAAGCATGCAGTTCCACCAACAGGAGGATCATCTTGAACTTCAGCGGCTCATTCAGCATCAGCACCGTCTGGGGTTCGGCTAATCTTATCTTCAAGCGTTTATGGCACTATTTTTACTCACATTATAACCTGCGTGGCTGCGATAGGGCCCATCTAATCGAATAATGTGGAGCCAATGGTTGTTACAGTACTTCCCCAGATAGAGCACACGGGCCCTATCGCACCGGATTCGAAAGGTAAAAATAAGATCAAGTGCAATAATTTATGTCTTGCGACGATAATGGCGGTTCGGGCAATTTTCGATACGTGCGTAGCTCGAACACTTGAGCGCGATTGGTGGAAAATCGTTACAGAGTAATTCGATTAGATGCTAGATATTGAACTGATTATGGCCCGGCTGTTTCGGTAGTTCTCAGTCATACGGCAATAATCAATTATTGGAATTGCATAACCGACCTCCCATAGACTGAGCAATACAAGTTCAGTAGGCCATTAAAAACATGAGATTTACTAAAAATATCGCGCCATACTTGACGGGCTTCCAAATGATGACGTACGCGTCTATTTTCGATCGCATCTCGATTTCAACGAGATATTTTTAAAGACGTTGTCATCCTTAAGCAAGCATAACACGGGTAAAAATATTGTCAATATTTAAAAGTATTGACAATCATATTGATGCAAATATTGACGCAAAATCAGAAAACTTTGATTTCATCTTTCAATATTTCCCTTCATTTTCACCTCTCGGCAACTTTTGGCAAGGTGGTTGTGATTTGACTCGGAATACTCCATCGGAAACATCAATGTTAGTGAGGAGCGACCCTGTATTGATGAACCCCCCGAAAATATTGTAGAAAGTATTGACATGAAAATATTGACGGTAACATTGACGAAACTTCTGTCGTGTGAGGTGTACTTTAGAACACGGGAACTATTTAATATTTGTAGTTCAATATTTCGAAAATAGTAGTGGAACGTAGTCGAGCATTATTGAGTGCATTGACAAATATGGTACCTACTAGCAACCGGTGGAAACTAACGATTTTAAATTGGCTCACTACTTGACTAGCCTATTGATCCCAAGCAAATCGATTAACGTAGCACATTCTAGTCGAAATTCTAGTACTACACTATGTTTGTTTTGATTCGCTATGAAAGTTTAACAGTTAAAATGAGGGGTACTTTGATTTTCCTATGTTTCGAGGGATGCATCGTATAGCTTGGAACCGAAGATAGTACCAGAGCTGAGCCAAAAAGTTAAGCACGTTTCTTCGGGACCTTCTAGTCTTAGTTTGTTTTTCTCATTTACCCTCACACGCACTGACTATCGCTTCTACCCAGTGTAGATGAATTGCAGTTGTTTTGAAAATCTTCGCTGTCAACGTACAAATGAAATGAACAAATGAGTTCATTATCCATCGACGAATACGCGTTTGTTGATATTCATCAACCCAAAATTGTCAAAAACGGAAACGATCCTCAAAAGCAAAAAAAAAAAATCAAATTTATTTTGCCATAAATGATTATTTTGAATATTATTTATTGCAGAGCCTAAAGCCTTGATATTATCATCAATTCTGCAAAAGGCAATAATCTTCCAACGATCTGAGTGAAAAATGCAACATAACACGTTCCACAACGGTATATTTGTGTATTACCTCGTTTTCATTCACGTGATATTACGAGATAATATCGATATCAAGTTGAGATGTTCACATTACGGTGACTTGATATAGTTTGTCATTTATGACAGTGAGAAAAAAGAACAACTTTGTTATTGTTTGCATGTGCAGCATCAGGGATTTGAGTATGCTGTAGAAACCTATCCTGATGGCGGTATCGGGTGGAAGCTTTCAGAGCGTACGAAGCCGGATGCTTTTGACCAATGAGTGTCGGAATATTTGCTGCAGCTTGGCCAGTTTCATATCATACAAATGGAAAGCTGTTCAACTCTGCATTTTCACTTTCTAAACGATAGCTTCCTGGATCAGGACATTCCGTCGATTTTGCTGGCTACACAGGACAGCCAGAGCAAGGTAAAGAAAGACCACATGGACATTCTTTAAATGCGGATCTTTTTAGTATCATCGAACGTTCGAGGTGGAAATAACATGCTTAGCGCTCAGCACCATTGATTACAGTTGGAACACGCGAGAAATCTCTTATAGCGAATTCGTTTATTATCGGGGTTAACACCAGTTCCAACCCAGTGTGAAACCGAACTTTTTGTCAGTGTGAACCTCAACCTGAGCTAGGTTTTAAAAACAAACGAGCAAACTGACGTTTGTCAGAAAACAAGCAGACCCAATCTTGATACCCGATCCAGGTTGGAACTGAATAATAAACGAATTCGCTATTATTCACCGACTTTCGCCTTGATGTTGATGACTTCCCATCGGGAGAGCTTCTCGATTTCCTCCTACGGTACCGGCAGTCGACAAAAAACGACATCCGTTCTGATGACGGGACGTTTTGGTTGGGTACCGGAGAAAATCTTTGATTTGCTACATTTTTTTGTTCGACGGGCACATTTAGAAGGCGATCACCACCGTGAAACCTTCCATTGGTTGGCGATAGTTGAATGGAGCAAATACGATGATATTGATTGCCGAAGAACTACGTCTCGGGTAGGTGGGTCAGGAGATTTAGAATGGTTGCTTGAAACTGCCAGTTTGGATTTTTTTAAATGTTTTGATTGATTCGACGGAAAAGTGACATTTGAAGTCAAAAAATAGCGACCAGATGTATCGTGGCCTGGTTGCCAGTCACTGCTTTTCAGGATTTTATCAAGTTCACAACATGATATGAGCTATATCAAGAACTATGCATGATATAGATTGACAGATCGTTTGTATGGGATATCACGTAATATAGCACATGAACCACTCTATATCACTTGATATAGAGCGTAATGAGAACAGGGTATTATACCCTGTATAATCATTTCGCATTTGATACTCAAAATCATCCCCGCTAAGATGATTATGAATATTGATATGACAACAGAACAGGCGATAATGAATTCTTTGAATGAACAAAAACAATTGTTGACTTCGAAACTAAGCGGTTGCCTTGATCAAGAGCGTGTTATCATGTCAACATTCAAATGCATGCAGGTGGTTGGTTTATCTTTCAAGGTTGCCTTCATTTTCAGTTAATTTTAGTGTAGAAGGAATGATTTTAATCAGCACTGGTAGGGGTAAGAGGGGCATAGTGAACAGGTGGGGCATAGTGAGCATCCAGTGCACCAGCTTGGACTTCCGGCCGTTCGGAACAAATTGGTTGGTGGCAGGATCAATATCATAATGATAATGAACCTACTGCCAGTTGATTTGTTTCATGCAGCTAGAGATCCAGGACCAAACTACGGGATACTCACTATGCACCTCCTCCCCCTACCTACAGGGTAAATGTATTTTTTAAATTGTCTCTAGAATTTGATTACAAAGCAGTCCGAATTGAAAGATTTGAAATAGGAAATACTTTTGTCTTTTTTTCCAAGAAGAAATCTTAGGAACGCCATATGACATAAAGCCTTTTGGCATAATGGCCGTTTGGAAGAATAGTAATTTGGCATAACTAGGCACTTCCACTACAGCATTTGGTAAATAGCTAGACTTGCGTACTTTTAATTGAAATTTTTCCTTCTTTCTAACATGAGATATTCTTTAGAGTTTTATTGTTGCAGAAATTATTGGCGACTTTCCACTGCTCTTCCTAGGGTAGGTGTACCAGTTATGGCCATACGTTCCTATTATGGTGTGTTCCAGTTATGGCCTATGGAATTCCATAGGCCATAATTGGAACACACCATAATAGGAACGTATAGCCATAACTGGTACATCTACCCTATATCGCGCAACAAATGAAACGAAAATTCTTAAATTTGTTATTTGATACATCTACAAAATATCCGACACTACATATTCTAATAGGGCAAAAAAAATAATAAGAAAATGCATGGAGGTGAACCAGCCCAAGGCTGAAAGCCTCCCTAATAAAGATAAATTAATTAATTAATAAGAAAATAAAAAATAAAATAGTCAGTGTATGAAGGAAGTGTGAATGTTGCTGAACTAGTCAGGCATCCACCCGGCGCACGTCGCTTGACAGCGATTGCAGCTTGAGATTATCTTGCCAAGACCTCAGAAATAAAGGCGGAAATAAACTGTGAAACCCGGGGACACATTCACAGATACCAACGGAGCAGCAGCATAACACGAGAATTAGATAAATATTGTAAAACGTCCTATCTGCATTGATCGATTCTCTTCATCGACTTTCTCTTTCGTCAATGTCTATAACTAAGCTGCAAAACTTTTCCCTGTTGTATTGGATTTTTTGGACGCTAGATAAGAACCTCCTTTATCAAACTATGTGGTAGAATTAGCGCGAAATCTGTTTGCATAGCAGTGGTTATGAAAAGAGAAAGTCGATGAAGAGAATCGATCAAAGCAGATAGGACAATTTGAAATGTTCATCGAGAATTCCATAAATTGAATCTGGTTAATCTTCATAATGCCAATTTCAATATCCTCTTGTTGATTTCACCCACCAACAACCTTAATTTCTCCCAGGCCCGAAATCCTTACACGCAAACCAGCTGGAAAAGGGGATCGGCACTTGAACGCGAATTGAAATCTGGTGAATACCACCTCCAGTAGGAGTAAGTAGAGCCAATGTGCCAACACTACCATCTTCGATTGCTTTCAGCTAATCAAACATTCAAACCTCACGCAGATCAGCAACCCTCTCACGACACGACCCAGGTTGTAAGGGGATCGGAACTCCAACGCTAACGGAACGTAACGAAAAGACACCTCCAGAAGGAGTAAGTACTATAGTC